CCGGAGGCATTCAGCCACCTCCGTGCGACGCTGAGCGTTGTCTGCAAATCTCTTTGTAGCCGACAGAGACATTAGCCGGCTCAAATGGATCGCTGTTGCCGGAGGCGGTCTCACGTCGGCGCGTCGGCGCTCGGTGGAGCCAGACTGCGGGACGCCGGTCGCCGGAGAGCTGGCGGCGAGCGGCGGCGAGTTGGCGACGAGTGACGGCGCGCGGAGAGCGGCTTGGGACAGTGCCGCCCGGGGAGGGGATGGGGAGCCGATCGCACCCCAGCCGGCGGCCACACTGCCGGCCGACTGATCAATAATGTCGGCCACAGGCGCGTGCTGAGCCCGTCCGAGCGGGCTGGCGGGCCGTGGTGACGGCGAAGCACATGGGGACTACATGGGGCCGGTCGGTGACAGTGGGTTGTGGGTTTAGCGAGACAAGTCGAGCCGTGGAGACAAGTCGCAACTGTGGCCGGGTATGGATGTGTCACCGCAGCCTGAGCCCCAAGCACGCACCCGGTAGCTTCACGCATCACTTCTGCTCAGCCTTACTTCACGCCCGAGCCATAACTTCAACAAGACACGGCTGACCAAGCGTGCCCTCAGTGCTTTTGCAGCGTTGAAACCTCTCTCCGTTACTTCGTCACTGCAGACACGCACCATCGACACCAATCAATGCCGTCTGTCGCTCATCGAATTCGGGACAATGCTAGCAAAAGGGGAAACACTATGCACAAGAATCATACCCTATGCGTGTGAGTCAAAACTGCTCCATACAAGTAAGCTCTGAAGAGCTGTGCGAATGGTAATAAGGCCTTCCAATCCTGTCTATAGCCAATCTAAACATACGCATTTTTTCATGCCTTGCTAAATTTGAGCCCGGAACGATTTCGCGGTTATGCCAGTCCAGTACCGATTGTCGATAATTAACCAAGAAAAATAACGGAGGAATACGAACCAAAAACATACGTTTGGAAAGTGGATTATGGAACAATAAAAAGGCATTTCTCCCAATGAAGCGGAATGTCTAAAAAGATTACCCTGTTCATAAAGATTATCCTATTCATTCCAGAAGCAATTTTATTACTTCGGGAAAACCTCCGCGAATACCTGTCAGCACTTTTCTTGCTATGATCCTATAATACCGCTGTGAACAGTCTAAGAGGACTACGTTAAGAGCATTTGCCATAATATCATATGGACGATATCCCCTAGATATGGGCTGATTATGATCCGGGATACGTTTGTACCGCCATTGGGTATCCGGGGTCAAGAATGGTTAGCAGCAAAATATGGTTATTCCAGCCAGAATGCCATTTCTCAAGGATAACGGTCATCTGTACCGTTCAGCTAAGTAACTTGTTAGGAAATGGTAGCCAAAACTCAACACGTCAATGGCACGAAACAGGATTTCCAAATCACGCAACCGTCTACTCTCTGAGAGCGAGGCAGCGTCCTGACTTTCGGAAAGACGGGCAAACGTCCAACGCCACGAAACCTGAATCCCGTGCGCTATATTACAGAGAGCAAATATTCCTAGTTCTTGCTGATTGAAACCGTTTTGATAGAATGAACGCTGGTCGCTGCAAGAACGCTGTTCACAACAAATACAAGACATCACAATACATTTTTGTAACTTGTATCCCACCTTCAAAAAAAGTTTATGAATTGGCATGAAGTGATGTCGCTCGGTTCAGAAAGAGCGAAAACGAATATCTACCAAATTTCACCGAAAAATATTCACCGGTTTTCAAGATATTAGACTTTTACTTTTGTTTACTTTTTGGGATCTCGCTGTTCCTAGCGACTTTATTTGGAAGCAATAGTTTGGCAGCTGAAAGTGCGGCACTTGTTGCGCGCAAAGCAGCATATACCACCGCGTGCTACAAAACGTTTTAGTCAAACATTTAAAAATCGTTAGATATCTGCGCTGACGTCACACATTCAGAGGGGTATTCCTATGCATTAGCCCCTCTGAATCAAAATGCTGCAATTTTGAAATTCAATATTTCCGATTTAAGGCATTTCTCGATGTTGTGAGTGCCGAAACCGGTAATTGTGAGCCAGGGACCCCGTTTTGGCTATCTCAACTCAAATCTAATGTTAAGGTGGGAGGGTCCCTTTAAACTCTTACTCCTGCCGTTGCACCGTTCCGTCCTTCTCTGCGCGAGGAGGACGGTCTTGTCTGTCTAAAGTGGACGTCACCGGCTGCTCGGTTTTCTGGCTGGTTTCCGCGGTGGAAGCTGTCTCACACCGTTTACATCCCATTGTGCAGCTACACCACGTATATCTACGTTACGCTACAGTAATGCATGACACAGTTTACATGTAGTGAAAATAATGAAAAAAAATCGGCCTTTTCGCCTTCCACCTGTGGACACATCAGTTGAAAGAGAGTAAAAACGTGGCATTTGGTATGTCTGTCAGCAACATTTGAGAATCTTGAAGCACAAAAACGTTGTTTTTCAACTTCGATTTAGTCGCAAGCTTAAATTTGGAAACTTGATTTTTACGAGGAAAAATGAAACTTTGACCTCGTTGAGCGACCTCTAATTTTTTACATATTTCCAAAATATTTTGCACATCTTGTTTTTATGTCAAGTGGAATGCAATGCGGGGGTGTCCCGTTAAAAAATCCAAAATATTATTTTTACCCCTAGAATAAGTGCCACCCTATTGTAGCCACTACGTGATCTTTGCGGTGCGCAATGTGCATTGTGCAGTTACGCCTGTCATGCGTGCGCCAACAAAATTTAGGACTGGATTTGTCTTTGAGGGTAAATCCCATACTTAACATTTGGCAGCACTAGGCGTCCGTAAGACGCATCAAACAATTTGCATAAGCTCCGCAACACTTGTGAAACGAAAGCCGCATTTCACAGCTACCGCCCCAAAACGACAACGCAAAACAAAACATCCGTCTGAAAACCAGCTCTGCGAGGCACGTCCTAAAATGTTTCGCTAAACTGGGTCTAAGACCGCCTGGAGACAGAAACATTTCCACCATATAAGGCACTCAGACGACAGGCAATGTATAATATATTTACAGCTGGGCGACCTCAAATACCTACATTGTCGAGTTGCCTAACTGTACCCCTGCGGTAGGCTTCCGATTCAACTTTCTGCCATGCCTTCATCATGCAAATACGTGAATACGTAAATAAATACGGTAACACGTACATTCATCCACGACAATCTCAATAATTCCCAGTACCATCATTTGCCGGTGCATCACTCAACAAGGAATCGAGTGACCCACTCCAGTTCAACAGAGCATCAAGCGATCCGCCAGCTCAGTCGTGGTTCTTCAACACCACAGGAGCGGAAACAAGCACCTCGAGACTATTGAAAGATGTGCTTATCCAGACAGCTGCAGTTGGCCAAATCGGGTTATACGGGTTGGCTGAACTTAAAACAACGTCCGCGGCTGCATTGCACGAAGGGCCGTCCTTATATAACGGTAGAGCGGCGGGTTCCGTGTCCTGCACCGGCTGGCTAGACGAAGGACAAGGAAATGGGTCTGTGAGACATGACACGAATGGGACTTGTCCTATATATGTATACCCACATCACGGAGGACATGTGTGGAGATATGGCAAAGGACGTGTCATCAGTCATGCAGATATTGCAAAGGCGATGAGGGAATGGCGTCAGAGAGATCCAAACAACAGATGGTTGTGGGCTCTGCTATCTTCTTGACAAAGTCAGAAGTACGAGCAGCAATGGTATATGTATAGAACGATGAACTTTGCATCAGGGTTCATTACCTATATCGCAATATCTCCGATAGCAGTGGTTACAGCAGTTCAAACTTCTTAAGAGCTGAGCCCGAGAAGCGGATGTTTCACACGAGGCGAGGTAGATAACGCATAAGGATATCCAGCACGCTGGGAAGCATGGGTGAATGGGGCATTGTCTCTAATATGGTGTATTTTACCCGGAGTTCCTGAGACGAGCTTTGGTGAATACTGCCATTTAGCGGAGGTAAAAGAGAAAGGCGATATCCATTAACATTAAGAGCTTGTACGACGGTTATAAGTGTGCATATCGGTGCAGCACCTTTGACACTCTTCCACTATCGCATCGCTACTTAAACGACAATTTTGCTGGCGGAGCTTGGGCCAAATGGTTATCAGGTTCACATAGAAATGCACTTGCCACTACTCTTCAACAGCCATGCATTTGCATTCCCGGCTCAGAATGGCCATCGACTGTTTAACCTAAGCATAACACGGATCGTTATGGGGGCTAAGAAATTGCTATCGTGTCGTTACATAACGAAAACACCTCAAAGACTCGACAAAAGGAGCCGACAACACAGGCCCCTGGATATACGGGTTCAGCGAGTTCAGAGACCTACTGCATTGTCGAATAGGTGCTGACACAAGGAAAGACTCCTCAGCACCGTCCCACCCACCCACCACAACTCAGTTCTCAGTGCCCCGCCGAGCCGAGGTCCCGGGCTCCGCGACCGGCGGGCTGCCGACATGCAAGGGCGTCATCAGCCCTGACGGCAATGTCATCAGCATGCCGGCGTCATAGTCGGGCGGGGTTGGCGCAAAATTCATGGGGACAGTTGCAGCTGGGCCGGCGAGCTTGATGTGCCGTGGGGACGTCCGCAGCGCCGCCGGGCATTGTGAGAGCGCTTTTAGACACGGCTCGGAGCTTCCGGGTTCAGCGCCATTCTGTCAGAGACAGGAGGCTACAAAGGACGGGTTTCGCAGAGGCTGTTAGTTTTAACAGAATACGAGGTGGTTCTGCATATCCGCCATAAACTGCGCCGAATGAGTTATGATGAATGCTGCCAGGGGGTTACGATTTACGCAGAGGCTCATGCAGGAGACAGGACACTGCAAAACCCGTACAGGACCAGCGTACGTTCCAAATTCCCATTGTCGGCCAATGCCAGTCCGCTCTGTCCCCGCCACACGAACAACGGAGTGCCCTTGCGAAACCGGGCGGCCGTCACGGTTCCAGCGACTGCCACGCGCCGCCGGCGGCTGGCGCGCACTCACCTGTATCGGACAGAGCTCCAGACGCCGCGGCCAGGGCGGCCAGCAGCAGGGTCAGCGTTCCCAGCCCCATCTCCGGAGCTTCTCCCAGCCTTCAAGCACTGTCTCTGCTCCTCACTGGGCGCGTCGCGGTGCAGAATCCGGTCACAGCGCAGCGGAGCGCGACGCAAAGGACCTCCCCCGCGGCCCGGTCACTGCCGACTGCCGCCGCGCACCGGCCGCCCGGCCGGCCCTGATTGGTCGCCGTCTTACGTGACCGTGTGACGTCACGGGCGCAGGTGGCCTGCGCGCGCAGGCGGCGGCCGGCCGACGGGGCACGGTGGACCCGGCCGGACATCGATTTGTTTAGGTGGCAACGCGTCGATGGATTTTTTATGCACCGTCTAAATCAACTAATGACTTATCTTGGGGTTTCAGTGTCACCGACGAGTTTTGGAGCTCACACCCATGACCCCATTATATGAGCCTTGGTGTGCCGTGTGACATAGCATTTCCTTGTGACATTATTTCTAAACTAAAGCAAAATATTCACTTCCAGCCAGTTGGCAGTTACGTTGGAATTATGACTATAGAAGTTCTGATTAAATTCAGGAAGCGTAGTAACTGCTCTGGTTAAACACTCTATACCTATCCTCACCGGACCTATTGGTTTGGACATGTGACGGCCGGGGGCGGGGGGATTACAGTAGGACCATTTCACCGTTTCATTCAACCTATCTCAGCAAAATTTTCCTTGGAGAAACAAGGGGTTGAGCGTGAGCCGATAATTTACGACAGGCAGGCGGCAGAGAATGCCAATAAATGGCCAATCATGTCACCAATCATCAACTGGTGACCTTAGGTCAAGGGCCAAAGTTCGGTAGGTTATCGGTTTCCGTAAAATCCTTCGGCAAAATAAGTAATTAATGGGCAATGGCTTTGCACCAGCCAGTGAACTTGTCTTCTCAGCTGTGTCGAAAGTTAAAAGTGGCTGTTGTTTCTGTACCTAAAGGTCGACAAGCTCGGATGTAGATTGTAGGCTGCTGAGCTCAGGTCCCGGCGGCCGTGAAACTGCTGTCGTCACGGGCATTTGACAGTTCCCTCTGCCACCACCGGCCCACCCCACCCACCCAACCGATGGAGGGTGGCTCCAGTAAGGAGCATCCCTTCGGATCGGACTGTTTGAGCGGCTGTGACCTGACCTGTCCCAGCGGGATAATCACGTTCCAGCGCGACGGGCTCAGCCGCCGCGGTGCAGCTGTCCACGGTCGAATCGGCCCATGTCTCCCTTTCGGTCCATTGATCCATACGAGTACCACACCCTAATCCTGAAACGTTTCAATTGAACGAAAGGAACTATCGAGCAAGAAACAAAAGTTCAATTTCATATTCTACCAGCCATCGACGTGTGCCGTCATACCGCTCTACGTGCTTCAGTGTTTGGTGCCTGGGGGCTAAGGAAATCCCCCCCCCCCCTCCCACCGTACCAGTTGATCACCACAGTAACCGTCAATGCACATGTTTTATACATGTCCAAAAAACAAAATGAGTTTTATATTTTTTCGCGCATTCAGCTGTATTGTATTTTCCTGGGTTACATTTAAAACTGCAATGCCGTCCAAGTATGACAAAAGTCCTACCGTTTTATGACACAGCGTTCAAGCATATGTTCTTATTGCAAAAAATCGCTACATGAGACAGAAAATGACTGCAAACAGAGACCAACATGTTGTCATCTGCAAATGTGACAAACGGAAAAGACGAGTGAGTCTATGTCAATAATATATTTTACTGAAAATGATGTAAAAACTCCAAGCATCTACCACCCTGCTTCAAATCAACAGTAATTCAAATCTCAATCCATCAAATCAGGTTGTTGCATACATTTCAGCTAATCGTCACTTGACACAAATAACCAACCGATGCTTACGACAGCAATTGAATACAACACTGAAGTTTCCCTTATGATAAACCAATGCCAGTTATGAAGCCGAATCACAGTTCGCCCGGCGAGGCCGTCCAAAGCCATATCCACAGACGCTCTTTATCCGCCAATCAAGCGGCGCTCAGGGGAGCAAGTCACGCGGCATACTCTCCGTACGTGCTCCTCTGCATATGGATCGCTCGCGGGCACACGACGCACTTCCTTGAAAATATTTATTCATATAGCAACAATCATAGCCGTGAATTTATAAATACGCCACGGCTGACGGTCGTGGTACTGGAGGCGGCACGCTGGCGCCGGCTCTCAATCGCTCCGCGCTCGCCGTGTGACCTCCGAAGCAGGCGGCGACCGCGTCGCCCAGTCTCTACAGCCACACACGGCACCGCACAAGCACCCAAGCAGCGCTGCCGGCGCGCACGGCCGACCTAAACTGGGATAAACAGGGGTGGGCGGGCGGCAGTGCCGGACTCGGCGCCCATACGGGGGCACGCGGGACGCTCATACAGGGGCACACGGGTCTCCATCCGGTCACACTCCAGTTGGGCGCGGGCCAGGCTGCGAAGGGGCGCCACGTCAGTCCTACTCCTCGTTACGGCGGGGCACGGTCCCTCAGGGAGCCGATACGTGCATCACAGGTGCCCCACGACAGTTCTATCGCCACCGATCCGCCCTGGCCCCGGCACGCTCGATCACGTCACGCGCGCCGTGCTGACTTGCCACGTCACGTCACGTCACTGCTGGTCACGGCCCGGCCGCCACCTCGATTCGTCAGTCTGTGTGCAGGGGGCGCGGCGGGTGCGCTACTCTGTTTTGGTCTGGCGCCTCTGCAGGGCGGCCGCCAGGTCGGTCTGCAGTGCCGCCTTCCGTCGGCTGTCCTCGAGCGGCGTTACCGACCGCAGGCCGTTCACAATGTCCCGCGTCTTACCTGTAGAGGGCAGTGCGAGCAGTGAGCAATCGCCAACGAACGGCCAGACGTTCACATGTATCAAAGGTGGAAGAGAGGGAATGACGGCAATATGGAGGAAGCATTTACATGACTCTTCCTTGAACTTATCTACTAGACGTAAAAAGCTATCACTGTTTCATAAGAAGCACAACTTGGGCCAGGAACGGTGTAGCACGACTGTACCTAGCCTGTAGGTCAGGCATGCATCAAGTAACAACGCTGCATGGTGATTCGGATGCCACTGGCCATGTCACAGGTCAACATCGGCAATCTCAACACCACACTGAAACAACAATCAATGACGTATTCGTGTCATTGACCGTGGCCGATTCGCACCCGGAATAGGCGAATAAGTGTCAATATCTCCACAGTGCCGGCTTACCGGCTGACAGTTTAGCCAGGCTATCACTGACCAAACACACGGCCGGATTAGACCAGCATGGCGACATTTGCGCAGCACTTCAGCCCGTGGCCAGAATAGCTCGATTAATGGGTTTAGAAAGAGTAAAACGTAACTGTTTTCATTGTAATATAACCTAAAAATAAATGGGTTAACTGTCAAAAATAGCGATACAAAACAAATTAACGTCGTAATAAAACGACACTGTTCACAATATTCCGCAGCGTTCTTCGTTCGCAGCAAACCTTAACGTTCACGCTCCTCCAGCCTCGTCAGGAGCTGACTGACTCACCGAAGTAGATTTCGTTGAGCGTGTTGCGAATCTTGTTCTCCATATCCTCGACTAGGCGGCCGATGTTGGCGATATGGGGCGATGTATCGCTCACTACCGCGTCCTGTTCCGTCTGCGGGCGAACACGAACGGACGGGGTGTCAGTATATGTAGATAGAGCACCGCGCCGGACGGGTAGCACCGGCGGTCACACCGCGGTAGTTCCTAGACAGATAGTTCCATGAAACTATGGTGCTTTGACGGCTCCACGGTGCTATAATCCATCTAAGCTTTTGCAAAAAAAAAATGATATGAAAAAATATCAGTTCATATTGACCTTTCATCATTTTCACTACACACATCCTAAGGACCAAATTCATCCATTCAAACGTCCCAGACACTAGCCCGTATTTTATGCTCACGAATAAAAAATGGGGCATCCGCCATGGCCCACGGGTCTATTGCTCGATATGGCAATGCCTCGTCTATTCTGACCTGAAAATCCCAAACGGCACATTTACCAACTCTAGACAAAGTCGCAGCGTGCATCTAATACTCCTCGAACACCCTATCAATCGCTACAGACCAAGACAGGCACCCCCCCCCCCCCCAGTACGCACGCCCTCCCATCCTCCCAGTTCCCCGTCCAACTAACCTGCCGGGTGAGCGAGCCGCCCAGGTTCATGGTGCCCGAGCCCTCCTTATTGGTTTGCAGCCACAGCATCACGGTCGAGGTGAGCTTGTAGTGGGCGTTCCGACCGGTGGACTTCTCCTGCACCTCCACCACGTGCACGGCGTCCCAGCAGCCCTTGATCTTCTTCGAGCCGTCGCCGGCCTTCTTTATCAATATGGCACCTGGGGGTATAGGAGGAAGGTGGGGTGAGAAAAAGAACGCTCAGCGAATAACAGTGAGTTACCCAGTCATATTAGTCATTATTCAAAACAATAGCAAGGGTTTATGAGCAGTCAGCGGTATAGCAGTCTGCAGATCATTATGAAGAAATCAACCGCAAAATGTTCACCAAAGATCATGCAAAAAAATATCGAACGACAAACCGCTTACATTTTCTCGCCTAAATGCGGCAATACACACATCATCATCCCAGTCCGATATCAGTTGACGATAATTTACCTGCGAATCCGTGGTCGAGGTCCCAGAGGTAGACGGAGGAGACGCCGCCCTCGAAGTACATGTCTCTGTACTGATCGAAGGCGGCGTTAGCGTCCACCTCAAGGCGCCGCAGTCGGTCCGAGGGCATGGTTCCGTCCTCCAGCGGCGGGTCGTACTGGTTACTCCACGGCGACCTGCAGGCAGATATGGGAGGATAGCAAAGTTAGAGCCAATGGTTACTCCGTGGCGACGTGCAGGTCAGATGGGAGGAGGAGGGGTTAGTGAGGTTTTACTCAGTGGTAACCCCATGGCGACCTGCGAGTTAGATAGAGAGGGGGCACCGGTCACCAGATCAGCGGCTAGGAGATGGAAGACCAGCTGTGCTCAACAGCAGTCTACATAGTATGAGACCACTGCTGGGGAGATGGCATGGCAAGACGGAGATGGCATAGCGATGCCATGCTGGGGAGACATAGTGTGAGTGGGGACAGGAATTAGGAGTCGTGTTTACCGCCTATCGATTGGCAAATGGACGGAAGATTGGTTGCGTCAAACAAACGGAGATTCAGTCT